TGTGTTGCATGTGTAATCTCAATTAATCTAAAATCTTACAACCTACATGTTAACTACTGTTTACATTTATAGCCAAAATCTGGTATTTACTTTTATAGCCAGTATTACAATGTGTTCCCAGTCTTAGGATTTGCAATATTGACCTATATTTTCTTCTTACAGTTTTCTTAGGGATGGTTTTTAAAAATACATAATCTACTTAGAATTTATTTTCATCAGTAGTACTAGGTGAAGATCGAAAGTTTACTTTCAAATAACCAGCTAATTTTTCCAGCAGTTTTATTTCCTGTTTATTATATAAGAACCAGCTGCAGTCACGTCAGTTCAAACTCATGGTGACTCCATGTGTTTCACAGTAGAACTCCGCTCCCATAAGGTTTTCATGGCTGTGACCTTTGGGAAGCAGATAGCTAGGCCTTTCCTCTGAGGGGCCTTTTGGGTGGGTCCAAACTGCCAGCCTGGACGGTTATAGCCAAGTGCTTAACTATTTGTACAACACAGGAAGTCCTTATTACATATTAAGTGTTTATATATTATAGGCCTATATATTATAGGCCTGATTAGGGGCTTTCCCCTTTGTTCTATTGATGTGTGAACTTATTTCTATGACAATACCATGCTGTTTTACTTATTGAAGAGATTTATTATGTATAAATATCTGGTCGAGTTAGGTTCTTCTTATTCTTTTCCACATCTCCCAATTTTTGATATTCTCACTTGTTTATTCTTCCAGATGATCTTTAGAACCATTGTCTAAACCCATCTTCTCACTGTGATTTTGATTGAAATTAATTTAAACTCATATATTAATCTGAGAATAAAAATATCTTTATAATATATAGTCTTCTCAACTAGAACACTTCCATTATTTTAATACTTTTTTTTGTGTCATACAGAGTTTGAAGTTTTTTCATGTAAAGGCTAACTTCAACTTGTTTTTCAGTTCAAAACTTAAATTTTTCTTTGGTAAACTTCCCTTTTACAAGTGCTTCCTTCCCCTACCCCCTGCTCTGCCCCATTGCCACCAGCCTCAGCCTCAGAAGACCCCCTTATTTGCTCTTGTTGCATAGCAGGTTTACATATATTGTAGCAATCTGTGCACTTTATAGTAGTTGCCTAGTTACCTGTCCTTGGAGACTTTTCACACTCTTTGATCCAAATCCATGATATACAAGGCCTTCCATGGTCTGGTCCCTGTTGGCTTTGACCCTTCTGTACTTGCAACCTCGGATCTTCCTCATGTTCCTCATGCACTGACATTCCAAACATACTAGATTACTTGCTGTTCTTAACAGGTTTTGATTTTTCTTATGATCTCTTATCTTTGTATTTGCCTTGTCCTTTTAACACCTTTTCTATTCCTCCCATTCCCCTTTTGGTAAGAGTCTATTCATCTTCAAGACTCTCTTATAATATCTTCACCTCTATGAAATATTCCCTGACCTGACTTCTCCCCATGTTTGAGCAGGATCCATACTTCCCTTCTTGTGCTCCTAAGAGCACTGAGTTCCCATCTCTTCCAGCCTTTAATTCACTGAATTATAATTTTAGCTATTTCTACCAGTGGAATAGGTATATTCCTTAAATGTAGGGACTGTATATTTTCTTTAAATTAATTCATCAAGTATTACTTTCGTTTTAAGGCTTGAGCCACAAAATCACTTCATACAACCTTAAGCTTATAGTATTTTAGTTCAAGATACTTACCCACTTGTAAAAATCAATTATTATTTGTGAAATTAATACATAGTATACTAATTTGAGAAGTAGAATTTTAAAATAAACTTTATTTAAAAACCCTTTGGTCTATTTTAGGGGTTGGAAAACTATGACTTGTGGGCCAAATTTGACGGGTCTCTTTTTGTATGGCTTGCAAGCTAAGCATGATTTTTAAAGAGTTGTAAAAAATCAAAGCAAAACAAAGAATAATATGCAACAGAGACCTGTGTGGCCTGCAAAGCCTAAAATCATCCCAAGTCTGGTCTGAAGTATAGCTTCAGAATTAAGCTAATTCTGGAGGTTTAAGACTTATTTTTGTTCATTAACATTAAAAATTACCCTCGGATGAAAAAAATTTAACCTTCTAAAGGAGTATTTTTAATTTTTTTAATAATAAGATCTGCTTTATAATATATTACATGTTTTTCATAGTACTAGAGTCCCTGGGTGATGCAAACAGTTAATGCACTTGACTGCTAACTGAAAGGTTGGAGGTTGAAGTTCACCCAGAGATACTTCAAAAGAATGACCTGGTGATCTATTTCCGAAAAATCAGCCATTGAAAGCCCTGTGGAGCACAGTTCTATGACACACATGGGGTCTCCATGAGTCGGAATCGACTCAACAGCATTTGATTTTTCTGGCTTATACATTCCTAAGGATTACTATTTTGTCTTTTATAGTGTATTTTAAGTTCAACTATGGTTATTCTCTCTCTTTTGCCTTTTTTTTGAAACTTTGCAAATGGTGAAGATTTTATTTGAATTTTATGGTATTCATAAAATTGGAACAACTTTTAAACAAGAGATATTAACCATGCCTTTTCAGTGTGACTTGATTTGTGAACTGTATCTATTCTTGTTTGTAATATGAGTGATTTACTCCTTAGTGCTATTTGTGATAGCAAGTCTTCTATGTGCTACCCCATTTGTAGTGAAACTAGTTTTCTCAAGTTCCATTTAATGCTTCATTAATTTCTGTAATTATAAGAAATCAGAAAGATTCACGATCTATTTAATGTATCCCAGCTGTTTAGTAATACAATAAATTTTTTCTCTATAATTTTTTCATGTTAGGGAGAGTCAAGTAAATGTATGAAGCAGTCTAAAAGATTATAGTTTTTAGGCAAAAAATATGGCCTCTAGACCATGGTCTCGGGGAACATCTAGCTCAATTGGCATGACACAGCTTATAAAGACAATGCTCTACATTCTACCTTGGTGAGTAGTGTCTGGGGTCTTAAAAGCCTGTGAGCAGCCATCTAAGATACTCCACTGGTCTCATCCCTTCAGGAACAAGGGAGAATGAAGAGAACAGGATACAAGGAAAAGATTAGTCTGAAGGACTAATTGTCCACAGCTACCAAGGCCTCCACCGGACTGAGTCCAGTACAGCTAGATGGTGCCCAGCTACCACCACTGACTGCTCTGACCAGGATCACAACAGAGGGTTCTGGACAGAGCTGGAGAAGGATGTAGAACATAATTCTAACTAAGAAAAAAAAGACCAGATTTACTGGCCTAAAGGAGACTGGAGAAACCCCGAGAGTATGGCCCCCAGACACCCTTTTAGCTCAGTGGTGAAGTTATCTCCGAAGTTCACCGTTCAGCCTGGGAGTGGACAGCCTCATAAAACCAAATGAGACTAACGAGGTACAGTAGTCCAGTGACAAGGGCCAGAAGGCAGAAGGGGACAGGAAAGCTGGTGATAGGGAACCCAAGGTTGAGTAAGGATATTGTTGATGTGTTGTGAGATTGTTAACCATTGTCATAGGGCAACATTTGTAGTAACTGTTAAATGAGAAACTATTTTGTTCTGTAAGCCTTCATCTTAAGTGAGAATAACAGCACAATTGGAAGAGTGTAGACAATGTCACTGAACTGTGCATGTAGAAATTTTTGAAATGGTGTATCTTTGGCTATGTGTATTTTCACCAAAAAAAAAGGTTGAGAAGTTAGAGGGTTGATATGTTGTGGGGTTGTTAACCAATGTCATAAAACAATATGTGTACTTCTGTTCCATGAGAAACTATTTGTTCTGTAAGCCTTCACCTGAAGTACAATAAAAAAAAAAGAAAAAATGGCCCCTAATCTGGAGGGCATTATGCTGAGTGAAATAAGTCAATCACAAAAGGACAAATATTGTATGAGGCCACTATTATAAAAACCCCAGAAAAAGTTTACACACACAAATAAAAACAATCTGATGGTTATGAGGGAGGCGAGGGATGGAAACTTTTGTGAAGGGAAAGACTATGTACAGTATAGGGGAAGTCAGCACAACTTGACTAAGGCAAAGTCGTAAAAGCTTCCTAGGCACATCCAAACACCTTGAGGGACCAATTTACTGGGGCTGAAGGCTAGAAACCATGATCTTGGGGTATATCTAGGTCAATTGGCATAACATAGTTCATAAAGAAAAGGTTCTACATCTTATGTTGGTGAGTAGCATCTGTGATCTTAAAAGCTTGCGAGTGGCTAAGATACATCGCTTGGTCCCATCCTGTCCGGAGCAAAGGAGAATGAAGAAAACCAAAGACGCAAGGAAAATATTCATCCAAAGGACTAATGGACCACATGAACCACAGCCTTCACCAGCCTGAGCCCAGAAGAACTAGATGGTGCCTGGCTAACACCACCAGCCACTCTGATAGGAATCACAATAAACCGTCCCAGACAGAGTTGAAGAAAAATGTAGAACAAAATTCAAATTCACAAAAAAAGACAAGACTTACTGGCCTGACAGAGACTGGAGGAACGCCTTAGACTATGACCCCCCCAAACCCTACTGTCTCAGAACGAAAGCTACTCCAAAGTCTGCCTTTCAGCTAAAGATTAAACAGGCCTATAAAACAAACAATAACATACGTGAGGAATGTGCTTCATAGTTCAATCAAGTATATGAGACCAAATGAGCAACACCTGCCCAAAAGCAAAGACAAGAAGACAGGAAAGGAAAGGAAAACTGGACAAATGGGCACAGAGAACCCAGGGTAGAAAGGAAAAGGGGGAGAGTGCTGACACATTGTGGGGATTGTAACCAATGTCACAAAACAACTTGTGTATAAATTTTTGAATGATAAAGTAATTTGCACTGTAAACTTTCACCTAAAACACAACAAAATTTTAAAAATATATATGGCTCCTAACTTTTTCTGTTGAAATTTCTCAGTTATGAAAGTTTTATTTCTGTTCCATAGATGTATATGTGAAATATATAAAATGAATTAAAAATAAAAGATACGTAATAATGTCCAAAGTGATGGTGCATTTTTGTTTTAGGCTGAGGAATGAAGAACAGCTTGAGGTTCCAATTCTTTATCATGATGTTACATCCCTTTTGCTCATCCAGATCTTAACGATGCCACACCCCTTACACAAAGGTATGTCTTTATGAGTCAGATTCTTAGTTGATGTAATATATATAATGACTATTCTAGAGATTGTAAGGACAAATATAGTATTCAGTCTGATGCAACTTTTTTGCGATAAATAACATTTTTTTCTACTGTTGGTAAATAATGATCATATCTATCTATAGAAGATGACAATGAAAGAAAAGTATTTCGGTTTTTTTCCTTGTAAGTCTATCCTTTTCAGATTTTTGGTTAATAATATGGTAAATACATGGGGAGAACTTTCTGAAAACCATTATTTTTTAAAAAATTTAAAGTGACAATAGAAAAGGAAATTTGGAAAATAAAGCAAAAACTCAGCGTTAATGCTGCTACCCTATCTACATGCATACATATTTCAATACAGTGATAATCATAGTTATTCAGATTTGATGTCTTATTATTTTTACTTAGTGCTAATATCATAGTACTGTGGTATTAGCAGCATTAATTTTATATTAACAACATTTTATTGTTACTCTGTAGTCTTCATTAGTTTTCACTTGAAGACTTTTAATACTTAAAAAAAAAAAAAAATCCATTGCCATCGAATTGATTCTAACTCATAGTTACGCCATAGGGTTTCTAAGGCTGTAAATCTCTCCAGAAGCAGACTGCCACATCTTTCTTCTGTGGAGCTGCTGGTGGTTTTGAACCGCCGACCTTTTGGTTAGCAGTCCAGCACTTTAACCCGTGTGCCACCAGGGCTCCAATATAGTCCATCAAATAATTAATCATTCTGTGTTAGAAAGCTAGGTTTTTTGTTTTGTTTTGATTTTTGTTATTACAAGTTACGCTACAGTGAACATCTGTGGGTATATAAAGACCTTGTTACTGGGAAGACATTCTTTATGTGTAGTCCAGCTTGATCTTTTGATAAAACTTTTTACCTGAGAGTACAAAATAATAATTTATTTTAAATATAGACAAGTTATAATATTTCATGTAATAGGAAGCTCTGTGAAGAATAGAATGATGTCACTAATAAACAAGCATAATATTTTATTTATACTAATACTGTGAATGTGGTATAATGTTTTTTAATTGGAAAACATTTTTCACAACCAAATGATATAGGATTTTTTTCATGAACAGCAGTATAACAGGAACTTACAATTTAATAACTACAGTAAATAGTTTAGTGTTAGTTTTAACACTAAACACTAGAATTTTTTTTAACCTATTTTAATGTAATTTTCAACCTATAAAGTTACTAACTTTAAGTGTACAGGTCAGTGAGTTTTAGTAAATTTATACAATTTTGCAGCCATGAATACAATCAGTTTTAGAACACTTGCATCACCCCAAAAGTTTCTCTTTGCCCTTTTGCCGTAAGTCCCTTCTCCTGGCCTTGGCCCTGGTCCTGGCAACCCTGATCTGCTTTGTCTGTATAGTTTTGCATTTGTAGAAGTTATATATAAGTCAAATCATACAGTAGGTAGTCTTTTTTGTCTAACTTCTTTGCTTAGCATATATTTTAAAGTTCTATCCACGTTGTTCCACGTAGCAGTAGTTTGCTCCTTTTTATTGCTGCGTAGTGTTCTCTTGTATAGATATGTCACATTTTGTTTATCCATTCCCAGTTGGTGGACATTTAGATTTTTTCCATTTTTCAGCCATTATAAATAATGCTTCTATGAATATTTATGTTCAAGTCTTTGTATGGACATGTATTTTCATTTCTCTTGAGTATATACCTAGGAGTGGAATTGTAGAATCTTATGGTCATTCTCTGTTTAACATTTTGAGAAACTGCCAAACTGTTTAAGGGTTTTTTTTTTTTTAATTGAGGTGAAATCACATAACATAAAATCAGCCATTTTAAAGTGAACAATTAAGTGGCAGTTAGTGCATTCACAGAAGGAGCCCTGGTGACACAGTCTTTTAAGTGCTTGGCTGTTAACTGAAAGGTGCGTGGTTCAAACCCACCAGCCGCTCCGTTGGAGAAAAATGAGGCAGTCTGCTTCCATAAAGATTATAGTCTTGGAAACCCTATGGGTTAGTTCTACTCTGTCCTGTAGGGTTGCTATGAGTCGAAATCGACTCGATGGCAATGAGTTTGGTTTTGGGGTTTAATATATTCACAATGTTTTGCAACCACCACCTCTATCTAGTTCCAAAACATTTTCATCACTGTAAAAGGAAACCCTGTACCCATTAAGCAGTTACTCCCCATTTTCCACTTCCCCCAGCTGCTAGCAACAACCAGTCTGCTTTAGGTCTGTATGAATTTACCTGTTCTGGATATGTTATATAAATGGAATCATACAATATCTGACCTTTCATGTGTGACTTCTTTCAGTAGCATATTTTTGAGATTCATTCACGTTGTAGCCTATATCAATACATCATTTCTTTTTATGGCTGAGTAGTATTCCATATGGCTGACTAATATTCGTTGTATATATATACTACAATATGTTTATCAGTTTATCCATTTATGGACTTTTGAGTTGTTTCCACCTTTTGACTATTGTAAAGAGTGGTACTGTGAACCTTCACAGACAAGTTTTTGTTTGAACACTGGTTTTCAGTTCTTCGTATATAGCTAGGAGTGGACCTGCTAGGTCATATAGTAATTGTATATTTTACTTATTGAGGAATTGCCACAAACGTCAAACATTTTTTAATGTTATTTTTTGTGCGTTTGGCTATGTCTGTGAATTTTATCATTACATTTTTTTATGTCTGCAGACTTTAAAATCTAAACCTGTCAAATAGCCTCATAGAAATTAATCTTTTTACAAAATTAGTTGCAAATTCTTTAGATTGTTTGTGTCATTTTGGTTAATTTTCTTTAGTTTGGGAAAACAGTTGCCTTGGAGTCAGGCTGGTTTACTCCTGGTTGTTCTCTACTAATTACACTAGTAGTATTAGTACTACTAATTTTGACACATAGGAATTTAAAGAAGTATTACTCTGTTTTGTAATGTCCTCAAAATAGTATCATATTTAAATATACATTTTTACATGAAAGTGTAGTTATTATGTGAACCTGAAAAGCTAAAAGGGAAGAAAACTTGATTTTTTCTATAATTAGTATTTAAAAAGAAAAAGATTTCAGCGAAGAATAAAGGACCTGTTGTATCAGTGTCTAACTGAGAGCTACAACTGGTGCATCTTTCTCATCATCAGAGAGCATCTGTTGAGTAACTGTTGGTGCTAGGTTTCAACAGATGGTAAAATAAATGCCAGAAGGGAATGTAATAATACATTGGATTAACTGAACCAAGTCAATTTAATTCATTAGGAGCAGATTCTAGTAGTGTTTTCTAAAATAGGAAGGAAAGAGCCGAGAAAATGGATCTGCCTAATTTTCTAATAATGGTTAAGTGAATAAATAGATTAAGGAAAATCCTACATAAAAATCCACCACATTCAGTCAATAACCATGCCTTAAACAATATAATTTAAAAAGTGTTGTTTGGTGGACAGACAACAAGTGTTTAATTTAATTAGTAGATGTTTAATTAGTACTTAACTTGTGAAAGCTATTGCCTGATTCAGTTCAGGAAACATTTAATGAATACCTACTAGATGCCAGGTTGCTATGCTTCTTTGTCAGCAGGTGCTGGGGGTACAAAGATGAATAAAACATGGGCGTTGCCCTTGGGGAACCAGATAGCTGAGTATTTAACAGTTATTAACCGTACCTCAAAGGAGCCCTACTGGTGCAGTGGTTAAGAGCTGTCTGCTAACCAAAAGATCGGTGATTCGAATCCATTAGCTGTTTCATGGGAGAAGGGACCTGGTCATCTGCTCCCGTAAAGGTTTACAGCCTAGGAAGCCCTATGGGGCAGTACTACTCTGTACTATAGGGTCATTCTGAGGGGGAATCAAATCTGTGACACACAACAACAACCTTACCTCTAGAATCTCTTTGTAAAAACCTATGATTTATGTTATATCTTAAAATTTCATAGTAATTCAAGGTTGAATTGTCTGTTCTGTTTTTATAAAACTGCTGTCAAACTCATTGTATAATATTTTGTTCACTCTCACTGTAGTGATAAATTCCTCTTACAATTTAGGGCCAGAAAAAAATTTACCATTGTTCATTAAATTGTATTTTTTAGACTGTCACCCATTGGGAACTGGGTAGACACCTTTACCTTAACTGCTAGGAAGTTCAGAGCTTAATTATATTAAGTTACGTTAATTTTCCTCAGACATCTTTTTTTTGAGAGATGGATAGTTTTAGAGTAGAGGAGGTAGAGTTGTTAATATAAATTTTCCTTTTCCATCTCCTAGTGACTGAAGGGACTCTGTCTTATGAGAGTTAACAGTTTGGTGGTCTTTACTGTATCTGTGTTTTTATTGTAATAGTATGTATTTGTGTACTTATTTAGTTACTGGTTGCTGGTAGAAGAGGAAAGGAGATGGAAGAAAATATTAATGTTTATATTTTCTAGAATGTTAGATGACTCCATGGTTTTATGTGAAAATAGGTGATGCAGACACCTACCTGGCCATCTCTTAAGCTTTTTAATGTTTAGTACCGTTTTCAGATTAAAAGACCTTTTTACATCAATTATCTCATCAGAAACTCAAATGTATTAAAGATGAATGTTTGTCTTTGATCTGTTTTCGTGTCCTTCTATATCTTATCCATCATAATACCTATCATGTCACTGGCCTCCAAAGAATAAACTTGGAAGCAACTTTGATTCGTCACTGTCTTCAGGTATTCATGGTTAGTTCTTCATATCAAAGGGGAAGGAAGTTTTATTACTTAGGATCAAGTTTGACATTATATAACAGAAGAAACTCAGAGTAACATAGTAGCTTAAGATAGAAGTCTGTTTTTCTTTCATGTAAAAAGAAGTCTGAAAGTAGGCAGGCCAAGTCCTTCTACTTCACAGCACCAGGGTCTTTATGGTTGGCTGTCATCTTCATGTTCCACGGTGGCTACTAGAGTTCCAGCCATCATAGTCTTATTTCAGGCAACAGAATGGAAAGGTGAGAGAGGAGGTTCATCCTCTCTTTTA